GACAGGTGATAAAGGGGACTTAGGAAGGAGAATGAAAAGAATGAAGAGATGAGGGGTGGGGATTAGGGGCGATGAGTGGGCAGCAGTTCGGTGGGTGCATTTTTTATGCAAACACACGCACACGAAGTGAAGATATCGCGGTATAAATCTGGATGTGTAGATGGGTGGTGAGTGGGTAGGTGGCTATGTGCTTCCAAAGTTGAACACACTTTTCTCCCAAGCATAAATCATTCACCAGTCCATATGCGATAAGGAGCTGGTTCTATCGCAGTGGCTGAGGCTAAAATGTGCATTGTTTCAGCTAAAGCCCTCGTCAGGTAGCATCTTGTACCCAAATCTTTAGTCTTACAAATGATAGATGATAATTCAGTGCTCTAAAAATCATTAAAGGAAATAAAGTAGCGGGAAATTATGGACGGGAGTAAATATATTGGTCTACTACCGCGACATAGATGATGTGATGGTTGATTTACGGCCTAGTGAGAGCCTTGAAGAAGTCATCTACTCTGGCTAATTTATTTTCAACTGCACTGCTGGTGTAAGCACTAAGTAAAAAGCTGCTGTCTCATTACATTCAAATGTCTTCTGTCAGTTGGAGCAGAATTGGGCCACCACAAGCTCCACAACAAGTGTGATCGTCTGTTGTGGTAGACCGATAAGGTCTCCAAAAGGACTAGTGAGCAACAATAAAACAAAGCCACTACATCAGTATATCTATTTTGGCGATCATTCAATTTCCACACCCCATCCACTCAGTTTGTTCCATGGTGGTGTCAAGGGGGAAATTCACATCGATTGAGTAAATTTCCGCATTAACATGAACAATTTAGACATCAAAATGCAGATAGCTAGACGCTACTTTGGTTGGAGTGTAATTCTTATCAACTTTGATATTTCTTGCCCAAAGACAAACTTATGTAGAATATTTGACTATTATTTGAGCCACACTTTATTGTTGACACTCTTAGGAATCGTCGCTGAATTCTAATAAGTAGTTTGCCAAATATACTGTCGTCCAGCAATGGGTGTGACGCTCAATCTCTCAGTGGATTCCAATTTTTCCTTCAAAGTTGATGCAATTACAAACGAACTGTGCTATCGCCTACGACGGCAAACATGATTGGAGGTTTTTCTTGACACCTTAATCCGCTCCTCTTTATTACAAAGGGTGGGGAGTCTCCCTCGACATGCAGCGTCTTTAGGTGACACATAATCAGAATTCCTGAGTTCCAATTGGAGAAGCAGATGAGCTCAAGTTACATCTACAAATTTTCAACCTGCATTTGATGATGTGAGGGTGGGTTTGGAAAAAAGGAAAGTCAGATAGAGCACACTTGGTAGAGACCGCCGTACGAGTGATGAAGCGCATGCCCTTATAAGCAGCAGGATGGATACCGCAAGTCCCTATAACCTGCACGGACTTTTGAACCTCCTGTCCTGCCCATCGGCGAACTTGAACGTTTTTAAGCCATCTGAGTGGGAGATGTTGCACCCATTCCATCAGCGATCTGATAGTATCCGCGATACTTAAAGAAGCTGCGCTGTTTTTGGGAATCAAATCGTATGTCTCAAGACAAGTATAGCTCCGGCTCAAATGCAAATTCAATTACTTTTTTTTGGGTGGCGAATGCGGACGTACAACCACTTTAGCTACATTTACCATCCATTAACTGTGAAATGGTCTAGTGGGGATGGGAGGGGAGGGCAGGTAGCATAAAGGGGAAGAAGAGGACTAAGAGGATAAGAAGTAGGTAAGAAGAGTGTGGTCACACCTCTCTCTTGCAGCTCCTTGGTAAACATGCTTCTACTAATGTGTCTTAATCGAAACTCCCAAACTCACTTATATGTACGCATTCAGCTAGCGGAGCCATTTCAAGTTTATGTGTATGATGAGATGAGGGGCGGAGGCGAAGGAAATGCATTATTTTAAGTGGCCTGGTCCTTCTGCCTTAAATTAACTGGCCACTGCAAGGGCACATACCTTTTTGGGAGCGTCTAAAAAACATCCCGATGGCAGTGCCTAATGGTGCCTCTGCTTGAGCTGTCGATTCGCTCAACAAAATACCACACATTCTTGTTCGTGCATTTCTACATCTTCGATGCAGTTATTTATAGCACGTTCTCTTCTAGGCTTCTGGGATAAGATAGCTGCATTTTGTCATATGAGTTCCCCCTTAGCGGAGACCATTGTAGTCGTGCGGACACCCTTAACCAGCGGTTCCCCAAATTATCAAAGGAGTGCTTTTAAATGGCCAAGTTGGTCAGTATTTAGAGTCTATTCCTTACGTGGCAATCGTTACATACGGTGAAGACATAATATCTGATTAATTATGCCTGTCCTCTTCACAGTGGTGTCAACTCCTCCTCCGTACAGAGGCCAGCTTGGGGCACCTGTCGGGCTCGAATAAGGACAGTATGGATGTGGATGTTTATGAGTGTGAGCATGCTTAAGCTTCTGCACGTGTGTCTTGACACGTATGTACTTGCAGGAAGGGGAGGGGGATAACAGCCTTTGAGGAAGGAAGGGAGGTGAAAAATGCTCTCCCTTGTACTCATCAATTCATAACGTCATTGTAGAAGTTGGATGAAATTTTACAGACAATGGAGAGGTGCTAGCAACTTTATTTTAGGCGACGCTGAACGAGAGTCGAGATGTAAGCTGAGCCCTTATTTCTGTCGCACAAGTTTAATGCTACTTATTAAAACTAAGTAGAACATCAATTGTGGGCAAACCCTACCGGATGGCATATTTTCAACATTCTAGATGAATAAATAACCCCGCTCGCCAATGACGCTTAGTGAGGTAAATTCAGGAGATTAAAAGGCTTTCAAGGGGAATAAAAGATGAAGGCTAATTTCTGTGGTATTGGCTATGGTAAGACCAAATCTCTAGACCTACCAGATAATCGTAGTTCACTCAGTTCACATTACTCCAAGTCCCCTTTTTTCCTTTCAAAAAGTGTTATTCTATGCTTTTTTAAAAGATGTTTAGATTTTTAGGATTATGGCTGAAATTGACGGCTTGCTAAAGTTACTTAGAAGTAGCGCTTAAACAGAAAGATAATTCAGAGTATAAGGCAAGCTAAAAAGTTCGTCAGCTTTTCATAAAATAAAATAATTTTAAAAATTGCCTAGTATACTTTATTCGTTAGAGCAGTCACTACCTACAATCCATTAACCTCTCCCAATGGGACAAGCCAGCTGTGAGCTCTATTCTTATTCAGTTTTGTCTTTGGAGCCCATGAAGAACCTAACTCTAGCCATTCCTTGTTCTGTCTCACTTTATTTCCGAACTACTTTTTTTCTATCTAGCATGCTATTATGTGATTGTTTCCATAATATTAAACGAAAGTGGACATAATCAAATACATAACTTTGAAGGGAATAAGGAGGATAAGGAGGTTAAAAAGGAGGCGGGAGAGGCGAAGACTTAGGCAGCGTCTCTCTCCGACTCGTTATAAGTTGTGACATAAGGCCTTCTCATGGCCAATTTCCTCCACTATCTAAAGTATAGAGCCTTGTCCTGCCTTCTGAGAACAGAAGTAAGGACTTCTTCCAACATAATGATGGGTCCTGGCAATTTCTAGATAAATCTTTCTTCAAGTGGAAATAATAAACCGCAATTGTCTTTTGGCCTCTAACCAGGGAACGTTCTCGTCTGTTGTTTACCACACACCAGGCGTACAAAAGCTTCAGGGAGCTGATGAAGCGATGCATGCCTTAGAATTCTAGTGTGAATCGAGTGGATAGCAAAGGGACCATCCGGGGCTAATGTTTACTTAACCAATGTCACAACAGAGAAGATATTCCTCCTCCCCATTCAGCTAGTCAGCAAACAAGCGCAAGTGAATATTGCGAATTTATAGGGCAAGTAGAAGGAGTGGAAAATCAAGAAATGTTGGTTTTTTTTATTATTATCTAGCACCTTTTAATACATTTCACGTGGGTGAAATCTATTCATTTTGCATCGCTTTCCCTTCCCAAATGATGTAATTGCAAACGAAGTGGTTCATCACCAACAACGTTAAACCGGACAAAACGATTTTTTGACAGCCTTGCCTGCAACCTCTTTAAAGTGTTAGTGGTGACACATATAGAATACCTTCCTCCATATGATGCATTAGCATCTTGGAGTGATTCATCATCAAAATTAAAACCATTATTTCAACCTGGTGTAAGCAGTGCGTTCTGCTACCGCGTGCACCACCTTCTCCAAATGCGAAACAGAGAATTGTATGAGAAGATAGATCCGGAGCCTTTGCAATCAGATCAAAGCGAATTCACAAAATGGAAAAGTAGGAAATATATCCTCTGAGTTTAAAATAAGAGAAAGGTAGCAGAAAACACGGTAGCGAGTACCATATTAGTGGACCGATGTATGTATGCGTATCCACAACCGCATGCAATCCACAAGCCAAGTTGCAACCTAGACAATCACAAAACCGTACAAGCATTTTTGACTACATCACTTTAAAGGACAGCTTTTATTAGAAAGACATAGTGTTACAATTTGATCGTTAGTTTAACTTTTTGTTTTGGCCAGGAGGGCACTGAAGGGCACGGCCATTGTACTTCTGCCCGTCGTCGTGGCCGCTGTTCCATGTCGGTAGCTACTGTCCATCTGTTTGTCAATAATACACATTCTGTCCTAGTGTTATGTCTGCTTTTGGCTTCAAGGGAGTCTCAAGGCGCTACGTTGGCTGCAGTGGAAAGCAGACTCAAACACAAAGGACGATTACCCCGATTTCTACCATTGAACGGTAAATCTTAACATGGCGGAAGAAAGACATGTTAGGGACGGGAACATTTGTAAAGATTCCTAACAGAAGAATGGAAAGTAGCGGCCATCTTCGGCAACTAACAAAGTCCCGTGTTCTGCAGGAATGTTTTTAACAACTAAAGCGACATTAGCCGTGACCGTGAACCATCTGTAAAAATTCGCCACGGAGTTGTCAACGGTGCCCGTGTGATGATGATAATTAAGTGAAGAGCGATACCTCCTGCACATATCTACTAGCTGAATAGATAGATGTAGCTGGGTAGCACAGTAGTGAGAATAACGTAGAAGGAAGGAACAGACACCAAACCCCACCCCCACGGAACCATTATCGCTTCTAGGCCAGTGTTCTTACGACTAGCGATGAATAAACGTGATGACCTGCACATTTCCATTCCCCAAAGCAGTTCTCAAACAAGATGAAACTCCAAGTACAATTGGATTGCCAGGAGGGATAGGTGATGCTGAGGCCAATAATTTTCTCAGGAGCAGGCGAATCCGATGACTGGGATGGTTGTTTCATGGGTTTTTCTGTAAAGAATCGACTGCGTTGTAATGACCAATGTGGGCGATCTACCAAGGGGAGCAGCGGGGACGATTTTTAATTTGCAGGCATTTAGGTCTCCGCAGATTGTACCTCCGCTTCTAGCACTTCTCTGCGTCGGCAGCACATTTTCAGCCTCCCTTAGTCTTCGGTAAAGACTCAGGGAGGTACACACATTTAATTAAAGTAACTTTTAACCGATTCAAAAGGCGAGCCAGTTAGATCTTCAATTAAAAAAAGGCAATTACCTCCTTCATTTCAAATTTTCAGTCCGCCCTCAATTTCGCTAGTGCTTAAAAGTGCTTTGCTGTTTCATAGCTTCACTTTTTATCAAGGAACAATTCTACTCCGCAAATTTTATTTCAAAGAGTAACTCATCGGCTAATTTAAGTAACGAATTCCAGAAATGAGAAAAAGGGATAAAGTGCAACAGGCTTAGTCCCCCTGAATCTTCCCTGAAGTTGAAAGAAGGCGTAATAGTTGGGCAGAATATGCATCGCCAACGAACGGAAGGGCTGGGGGTCACTGGCATGGTCCGACGGCCATGCCGCACAACAGAAGTACAATCGCGGAAGCTTGCATGCCCACGAAACGAAAACATGGGGACATATTTTCCGATGAGATATTCCAATTCTGTACTAAATAGAAATGTCAAACTACGTAATTGTACGGAACAAATGTTCAATGATAATGTCAAAAGATTAAAGGAATGACTTAACTTATTTAGGAGTTGTCACAGATATTTTATAAAAGGTATAAATAGGAAATGTCCAGAAAATTCTTCAGTTTTTGACCGCACAAGTATCTCAATTTTGACGTCCCAATCGTCAGGTAGAAAGGGCATCATTCCATGTGTCTCAGAATCCGCCTATTTGTAGTCTGGCCGTGTTATGGAGCCCCGAGCGCCAGTCAAGATGTCTGCACCAATAACTTGTGTGGATTCAGGTTATGCACAAATACTGCAACAGAGAAACTCTTCTATCTGAAGAGCCATTTTTCCTCTTGACAAGATATTGTATGCTATAAATATGGGCTCTAATATTTAGAGATAGCATATGGGAAATAAGGGAGACCAAATCAAAACCGGGACTTGATCTGATCCAAGATTGCAAGACCGAACCATTCTAGGACAGCCTGCCGAAACAATGACCTCCAAGCCCAAGTTTCACCGTATTTCATGGTCCATTCCATAAAGTCGTAGCCCTCCTTGTCAAAACGTTTCTTCAGATTATTAACCATCCAGAGTTTATAATACTGGCAAAAAGCAGGAAACACCATCAATGTCCTGTGTGCGCCAACTTCTGGAACCTCACAGTTTAATGCGAAACTGTATTCACCGTTTCTTGCATGGAACATAACCTCTTGCCCAATTTTACGACCGGTTTCGTGTCAATCAGACATTTTACAACCTAAATACTAAAAATGAATGACAGCAGCAAACCGAGAACCCTCGTGGTTACTAGTAGACCATCTTCGCAATGTTTGCGTTTCAAGCGCCTTACAGCGCCTAAATTCTTCTGCACTATAATATATCCACGAGGTTGTGAGTTTAGGCTGACACAAAAGGCTCCGCTCATCACCGCACAACATTGGATGCATGCACGCATCAAGCCTGGTTCCCGCCATTTTAATTAACGGTGTCTGGACCAAAACACGACATGTGCACCGGCTACTAAAAGTGGCAACAGGACACACTTGCCGCGGTAGCACCCCATTTCATACATCCTTGTAAATCCCATTCTCGGTTTTACTGGAACTCTCCTCAGGGTTACAGGTACCATAGTCGTGAAGAACCTTACAGCGAAAGCCTCCTAGAACACTTCCAAGCATCAAAAAATGTCCCTACAATCGAAGATACGACCGACGCTCATACTCGCTGCAAACAACTTAGAATTGAATGGACCCGGGCACAAATGCATAAAAAAGAAACTAACGGATCTTATTTTTGCAGATGATCTGCATCTTCGATGGGATTGTTCGGACCGCATTCAAGAAAAAATAACCAAATTCAAATATGCTTTAATCGAGGCTTGTAGAAACAACACATGCTTAGATAAATCAAACAGGAATTTACAATCCCTTGTATTCACTAAACTTAATTACCTATCTCTAGAAGGTATTCGCAGACTGGAGAAAAAAGGTAACTTTGGCTGATTATATTTGCAGGAAAGAGCGCACACACACGTAAACTTACACACGCGAAACAAGCCTGACTAGTCCGCTGTGAATAAAAAGAAAGCATGACGAAGCAGATATTGATAGTGGCTGACGAGTGGCAAAATAAAAGGAGAGTAAATCAAGTAGACCAAATTGCTTCCTTCACATGGTGCAGTTGCATGTGAGATTGTCATGCGTACGACGCGGAAAAGGAGGTCGCATGGAGTCTGCATAGAGCAAAGCTACCATTCACCGAATTCGTGCCGGAGGAGGTGGTGGTGGGTGTCGTCGATGTCTGCGCCTCTCCTCAGGCATGTTGAGGTCGGCTAGGAGGGAGGAGAACTCCGACAATTGCTGGTATTCCGAGTGGGGTTGTGGTGGCGGCGCTTGCGGTGGTGGAGTGAGCGGACCCGGATCTCCGCCACACGCAGAGATGGGACGAAAAGCGCAGGCGTCAGGCGCCTGTTCGAAGTGTGCAGGGTGCACGGAGGCACCACCCTCACGAAGGAAAGCAGAAGGATTGGAGGAGGATTGGGGCGCGTCGAGGAGAGGACAGGGCAGCATCTCGGGCATAACAGTGAGGTGGAGAATGAGGCAAGCCAGAGAGGGCCATTCTTTCTCCAGCCCCTTCAGACGAACACCGGTAGCGGTGCGCTGGATCAGGTAATGACTTATCGCCCCACCACCACCGCTAGCACCACCGGCGAGGGCGGTGCGCGGCGCCATACCAGCGGAGAGGCAGCGCTCAGCTGCGGCGGCAGAGTGCGAATGGGCAGCTTCTCCTTCGTTTTCGCCGACACGCACCGAAAGCGCGTAGCAGTTCGAGTGGGTGCCGCTATCGCGAACCACAAAACTGCCCGGCTAAAAGCAACAAGTGGCCTTGCGATCATATATTCCATACCCTGTAGCTTTAACGGATATTAGTCCATTATTTTCATGTTCGTATAATCAGACGAAGTAAGCCACCATTACCTACTGTATAAAAATAGTGTGAATGGAAAATAAATGGTTAGGTTTTAGATTTATTTGATGCAAGAAGAGAGCATTCGTCCATCCATTCATCGCCCAAGCTTACTTATAGTTACTCAAAGAGGATTAAATGTAAAATGACAATTTATTCTCCCTAAAAACTAATCTCAAAGTACTAGCAAAACTCCAAAATATCAAAAAGGTAACGAGGACGTTCATCTTGAAATCAAGTGTAATACGTTACTTGTTTAACCCTCAGTTTTGGTAACGGGTTAGTCGGGGGCTCCGCTATTGTACCTTCCTCGAGTGGGCTGCCCTTTGGGCCATGCTAGTAAACCCAGCCCTTCTGTACGTCACCAAATCGCATTTTATCCAGGTATTATGCCGTATCCCGTCTTCAGAGAAGTCTTCGGGTGTTATGCCAGTAGCAGTGGAGGGCAAACTCAATCTTAAAGGACATGCATTCTGATTTCTACTACCAAATGTTGGAACTTGGTGAGGCGAAAAAGTGCATAAGCTGTGGATGGGAAAATCAGTGACAACTTCTAGCGGAAGATCTGAAAATGACGTTCACCTTCGGCAGCTATTACAGTTCCGTGTTTTGCAAGAATATTATTGACAACGAGGACAGCGACACTAACCGTGAACTAGCCGGAAAAGTCTGTTACGGAGCTGTCTAAGGTACCTGCATGAGGGTGTTCATAAAGTAAACACGCGATACCACATCCACCACTTCACCGGCTGGATAGATGAAAACCAAATAGATATGAATGGACAGCTCCGAAGTAAAAACAAGGTAGCGATGAGAGATAGGCGCGAAACCCTATCCCCATGAAACTATTTTCAACTCCGTCCTTTGTTATATGAATTCGCTTTTTGTTCAGTGTTCCTGCGACTAGCTGTGGACACTCGTGATGGTCGGCACATTCCCCAGTCCAAGAATCCAGTTTCCGTAGAGGGCAAAACTCCAGATCCAGTGGAATGGCCAGGAGGGATCAGCGATGTTGTAGTTTGACACCTTCTCAGTTGTATGAAAATTATGGCTAAGCATTATGTCTTTGTTCGCCCTCAGGGAGGTCTCGGGGCACTACATAAGACTCACTGGTGTTTAAAAACTGCTTTCCACAAATAACTGCTTTAAAAGTTGTACGCCATAAAATTGCTTATGAAACGAAATTCCCGGAAAGAAAATTCCAACTCGTACCTAGGTAAACCTCAACCTCACAAATAAATGTATAGTGAGCAAATAAGTTCGAGGAGCTTTCCTGATAAAAATGAAATAACCGCAGAAAGTTTCTTCAAGTACATGATTCGTTGAAGCAATCCCAATAGCAATCCATTCGCCCTTCTCAATGAGGTACAAACTAGCTGCGAATTCCAATTTTATGAAATCTTTCATCACTGGAGGCAAACAATATAGTCCTGGCCACCGTCGTTTCTGTCCCATTTTTATTTCACAGCTTCCTTCTATTTCGCATGTAATTATGCGAACGTCCACCCAATGACAGCAAAAGGTGACCATCATTAGGATAAATAAAGAGGTGAACACGGGAGAAACCGAAGGGGTAGGAAGTATCCTTCCCCTTCCTGCAGTTCGCATAGTAGACAAGCTGGGACCACATGCAGTAGGTCTAAACATTTGAGTAATATGAGGGTGGATTTAAGATAAGAGGCAAGAAGTAGAAAAGACAGCAGACTGCTGCAGATTTGCTTACGTTTTAAAAAATTCCGTGCATTTTACAAGTCCCCACAAGTTTCAAGAAGTCATACCAAATACAGGACATTTTTTGGTCACCTGATGGACGGGCCAACAGTTAGACCACGCAGCATTCATTTGATTTCGCTCTGGCGACAGGATTACCAACTATCCTTCCTGATTCACGAATCATGACTCTCAAGGTAGAGCAGTAGGAAAAGAGGAAATGAAGTGTAGTAGCAACGCGCAACAGCCATAGCCAGAGAAGAATTTTACTCATGCGCAAGAGAAGGCGAGGCAGAGTAGGGTAGTGGATGAGGCAAAAATGAGAAATGTTCCCAAGGGGAGGGAGAAGGGAGCGAAAGGGGAATTCGGTTGTGAGTCACTGTAGTACCACACCCGCACACCCAAAAAGTTAAATATCAGCTAGTTGAAAAACATCCCGAAAATACATAGACCTCCAGAGATGGAGACTTGGATGAAAGATTAGCTACGGCTGCCAAGATGTTGAATATACGTCTAACGTTATAGCACCAGATACCATCCGTAGGTAAAATATTAAAAAATGTCTTTAGTTCTAGAGATTTCACAGAGGCTTCCAGCATGTCTCTCACCTCATGCCCCAAATAACGGTAGATTAGGTTTGATAAGGATACGCTCAACACTAAATTAATTCTGAAAAAGCGCTGAAAAACTTCCATAAGCCACACCCAGTTGAAAAACAATAATTATCAAGCCTTGGTAATTAGAATTTGGAAACTTTGTCACTCTGTACGTCGATAATACACGTTATACCCCAGTACTATGCCTTCTTTTGGCTTCAGGGAAGTCTCAATGCGCTACAGTGGTGGCAGCGAAAAGCGAACTTGATCGCAAAGGAAGGCTACCCCAATTCATGCATACGGAAGAACGGGTTATGGCGTGGAGAGAAGAATCCATGAGGACCCCTAGCAGAAGGGTTGAAAATGACGTCTACATCGCCAATTGCCCAGTCCCAGGATCTGTAGGAATGCTATTAACTGATGCAACATTTACCGTGACCGTGAGACATCCGGAAAAGTGCGTTACGGAGATCTTTGCAGTACTTGTGTAAAGATGTCAATTAGAACGCGCGATACCTCTTCCACCTCCCTACTGGCTGGAGAGTATCAAAATACGTATGTGGTTGAGTAGCGTGAAACCTTATTCCTACGATACTCTTTCAAACACCGTTTTTTACTAAATTAGCCCGTTTTTAGGTCAGGATTCTTACAATTAGTGATGGACACACGAGATGGCTAGCACATTCCCCCTTCCCCAGTACAGTTCTCAAACAGGACGAAACTACAGCCCCAGGAGAATCGCCATGAGGGATCAGTGGCGCTTCAGTCAGATATCTCCTCGGTAGCAGGCGTATTCGATGATTGGCGCGATTGGCTCGTAGGTAATTGTCTAACAGCACCGTCTACGTTGTGACGAAGTTCAAACGAGGAGAGAGACTATGTAATACTACGATTTTTCTTTTAATATTGGTTTTGGTTACGCAGACAATAAAGAGTGCAGCCATTTTACTTCCGCCGGGTGGAATGGCCTCCGGGCCATGCCAGCAGCTCCCCGGTCCATCCCTATGTCGATGATATACATTCCACCCCAACATTGTCATCTTTCGTCTTCAAAATAGTCTTGGGGCGCAACGCCTTTGATGCGAAGTGAAACAGGTAGCGATAATGGTATTTGAAAACCAACTCAATGCTTAAACTGACTTATTCCCAATGGATTATAACATATAAGTGTCGGTTTAAAGTCTATTTAATGAGATTTTTGAATACAGAAATCTAGGACCATGCGCATCATAGGAATAAATGTCGGATACAGCATGGAAAATTTTAATGGTTCAGGTGCATTTGATGTGAGATCACTGTCCCTGTAAAACTCAAAATGCACGAAGATGTGAAGCAAGAAATGGAGTGCCTTATTAATCTTGGCAGCAAGCAATTATGATGGCAGTGAGTTAGCTCACACTGCAACGTGCAATAATTTCACGGAATTTATGGCCACATTTTACGGTCCTGAATCCGCTCCGCGACTGTGCCCCATTCCCACTTGCACTCAACGGACTAGCTTCTCCTTTTGGAGGGTAACATCAATGATGTGGGTTTCTGCTAGAGATAGGGAATACTTTCTGTAAGGGCTAAAATCCTGCGATTTATGAGGTGAATTCCGTAATAGCTAGAGTCGAGAGCATATCATTACATGTGCGGACGAGTTTATCATGTGCTTGGCTTACCAGGAGACCTTATAGGTAGAGTTCGCTCAAGTGTCTCATAAGTAGGAGGTAAGATTTACGAGCTGCGGCAAGTAAAATTGGTGGGCAAACTGTAATACGTTAATTATTTGTTTAAATTTCATTTTGGTAACGAGTCACTTAGGGGGCTCGCCATTGTACCCATGCCGAGCAGTCTGGTCTCTGGGCCATTCCAGCAGCCTTTAGGCCCTTCTGTACGTCGACAATACACAATCTGCCCAGGTATTATGGCCTTTCGTCTTCAGAGAAGTCTCGGGGCGCTGCAAAACTGATCAGGGTAAAGTGACATATTCCCATTCCTATAAAAGAGACTGTTGAAAGCTCAAGTTGTTTACATTTATTCATAGGGCACAAATGAACTGTAGAACTCCCTGAGGCATTCTAAAACGTACATCACAGTGCCTAGCTCCAGAAGGAGTACAAAAATTAGGTCCAAATTATCCCGATACGTAATGTCCAATGTTATGGTGGTTAAAGAGTAGTACCGTTAATCACTTTTCCAACAGTAACACAAGATGAGTCAAAAACCTTATCCCCAGAAGAATTCCCCCTGTTTTGCCGCTGCTTTTACATCAGGGTTGTTTCTGACAAGAAAGAAACTCAACACACTACCATGCCAAAGCTCACTATTTAAACGTTTGTTCTATTTTCACAGACAGAAGTTCCGCAACTAGTTTCGTTGACATGTTTCACCAAATCATATTAGCAAAATGCAACAAGGACGTTTGCGACAGGAGTCAATGAGCGATTGTAACCCACCAACAAGCAAGGCTAGTTCTGATCGCTACCAGCTGGGCAAAATTAGCAATTCCACTCAAATACAAGATAACTTGAACTTACTGGTTGTCGGGAGAGCATATCTAAGGCCAACTCGCGAGGTATGTGGGGCTGGTACCACGGGGCGGAGACGGGCTGGCCGACGTGGTGCGCGGCGGAGGTCTTGAGGCTGTCCACACCGCCACCACCACCGCTGCTGCAACTGCCTGAGGCGGATGCAGCGTCAGTAGCTGTCCGGCGTCTCCGTGGATCCGGACAGGGAGGACTGTGCAGACTCTCAGAGGCCTGGTCGTAGGCGTTCACCGAGGAGGCTGAGGGGCTACAGTAGGGGCGGTATTGCCAATGTCAAAGATGAACGCTTTTAGCTGCAGTTCGGAGGTCGTAGGCTCCATTTTAAGTCGCCTAATCGACAGAGTATTTTTTGTAAATTATCGAAAGGTGGATTTGTACTTGAAACGAAATGTCACACTGCATTCGAAGGTAACGAACTAATCTTATGTCTTAAAGTGTTCTCGAAGAGTTGGCTGCAACTTTTACGCGATCGAATCAGTCCCTATATACTATTACTCAGCGGAAAACCTTCACCAGGAGGGCCTAATATGTGAAATTTTTGACTCCTCCGAGCACTAAGCACCAAAAACTTCACCTTAGCCCTGAAGGGGCATAATAAACACTTCGAAAAGGCTTTGCCTGTTGATTAAGTTGGCATGTGGCACCTTGTAAGAGGAAATTTTTCGTGCTTTCCTCTAAAAGACATCTTCAACGCGTTTATTCACTTCTATTTTAGCCAAGTTAGCGTAAAATCGAAATTCACTTTGACAAATTGTTTCACTAGTTAAAATAAAAGCGGAATCTGGGTTTACATTGAGACATTACACGTTAAAGAAGTTACTGCCTAGACATCCGGGGTGGCTTATGGTACCTCAAGAACCTGAAAACTTTCCACAGATAAGCTAACTGCAGGAGGCGCGAAAGGGCACCCACCATAGCATAATGAGATGCAAAAGGGAGACTGTTTTGAAATGGGCTGAAATCAATGAAGTTGAGTCAGTAAGAAATGAAGAACTTCAACCCTAAAGTTGACTTTATCATATCTTGAATGGCTAGGCATGAAGGGAATAATCATAGTCCAATAGTCTAATTAATGAGGTCGTGAAATAAAACGTTTGCCAGGGCTTATTGAGAGGGAATCGAGTGTTTTTTACAGCTTGCTAGAAGGGGTTCCATGTCTATACACGGTTCCTGCATAGTATGTCCTGCAGTTGTTCGAAGGTCAATTCAAGTTCATTCATCTGCTTCCACTGCTTAGCTCATAAATATTTCATTAACTGATCCAATTGGCAGTATCAGAATCTGATCTCTGTAATCGTCGCCTTATCAGAGATCTCAAACTACTGTGTTAAATTAGTGAGACCGCCATTCGACCACTAAACCGGCACCAATAGCTCCTCTAGGGGCTTTCGTGTATCTACCATAAGTCTTCCAGTGGTCTGGAAAACCCCAGTATTCGGTACAATATGTGGTAAAGAGAGTAGAGGAAGGAACAAGGATTTTTATTTCTAAGTCTCTACCATCTACGATACTACTGCTCAAATCACAGTAGTAGTAGCAGGATTTAATGAAACCAGTACCAGACTACTAAACGGCTACTTCGGTCTCCTCTTAGAGAAAAGGAATATAATTCATGACTAAATAACAAAAAAAGCACCTGAAGGGTGTAGGTCTGCGGCGTCTAACAGGTCCAGGAATAGCAGCCAACGAGTTGGCCAATTCAACTTCATCAATATCTTCAGTGGTGCGAGGATGTGGTGATGCCAACACTGGGAGAGGGGTGGGGTGAGGAGCGCTAGGAGGCTGCTGCACAAACCCCGCATCCCCCTCTTCCTCTTCCCCTATCCCCATGGCCTCAAGGTCATCGGGGTAGATGGAGGCGTCTACCACGTCGACTACAGCGACTGAGGCGAGTGTCGGAGAGTCACGAGGTTCGCTCCTGCATTGGGGATTAGGATTAGTGCTGCGCAGTTGTCTGCAGTGCGAATGAAGGCATAAATTGAAGTGACATTGAGTGACCGTGAATGAATAATGTTACCAGTCTCCCCCAATTCATCCTCCACCTAAGCCTCTAACTCTCCAGGCAGTAAGTGAT